GGCCTATATGTCTCAAAGGGAGCTAATCTATATCTCATATTACTGATTTACTGGTAGTCACGAAAACAATACTTAATTCGAAAAATAATCTATATCTATTGTGTACGTTGCCGCAAACAATTATGGACCCAAACAAATTCATCCTACTATTGGTACCAATTAATCAATTTGCAATTTAATACTCAGGTCATCCGTTAATTAGCCCTTGCCTGCTGAAGTCAGGAATATCGCCGAGGGTAGATGGCAAAACTATAAGCTAGTGACCAAATTTTCCGGTTAATTTTAGAACGATAGTATAACACTTTTTAGACCTTCATTTTTTATTAACAAGTAATCCAGGAGCTTAGGAGAGCTTATAGGCTAGTTCTCACCCTTACAGTGTCTTGGCTCCCAGCCAACACATCTTCAAAATATCCCCCAGACTAATGTGCGACCAACCGGGTCCTATGTGGAGATCGAGTTTCTTACCATATATCTGAATCCCAAGGAGTACAAACTGTTCAACGAATGAAGGGTTCGACAAAGTTAAGTTCCGTTGTAAATACATCTTGTCAGAGGTTCGGAAATAGACACAAGATCAATTCCAAAAATTTATTTTGCTAGTAGAAGTCTTAGGCAATCAAAACTAGAATAATTTGCAATAGTTATTAATACAGTATAATAAAGGATAAAATTCATAGTTATTATTGCAAGTTGAAGATTAATATGAATTTCTAATTGTCAATTCCAAATTATTTGCTCTTATTTCGAAGGTTGGCTTGTATCCAAATTCTGCGTCCAGCCCGTGCTGAATTCAGATGTACAGGGCAAACCTAAGATACTGCAAGGTAGGGGAAGGATGTATATAGAAAAGTTATTTAACTATCAGGAAAATCATGCATAATCAAATTTATATAGTCATATTGGATAAGAAAGATATAAAGTAAAGCTCATAGAAAGTGCAAACTAACGAAGAGATAGGCTCGTTTCCAAAGGCATTGACCTCTGCTTAAAATGGTATAACAAAAATTTGAGGCCTCAATCTAGCAAACAAGGAAATAAACTAGTATTTTTCGTAGATATGAAGACTAAGATGGTGTGGCCTTTTGTGTGGTCTTAATATGGTCTATTGTATGCATGATATTTTCAAGAGTCGGACCGTGGATGTGGTACATTCCCAGACAAATCTCTTTTGACGAGTTGTTGTGTGGTGTTAAAAATGGCGAGACTCACTGACAATGCCGACTACGATGCCGGCAAAACGCCTGATAATGTACCACGTCAACGGTCCCACTCTGGAAATGATCATGCATGCAATGGACTCAGGACTAGATGCGTTCTTCTAAGTCTTCCTACCAGTATGACCAAATTGCCAATACAAGGACAAACAACCTCTAGTATTTTTCGTTTTCGAGCCTACTAATAGATCATATAAATGAGATTTTTTCACTCTATATCGCTTAAGGTGAGGAGACTGGTAGTAGACTTTTCCTGCAATAATATAAATATACCCTACATTTTCCTTGTATTTCGCATAGCCTTGCTTTCCCGAAAGGTATGCTCATCCAGGCTTAAGTGGACTGCAGATTCAACCTTGCCTCAACTGGTCGCATCACCACTCCCAGCCAGCTTCTGACCATGACAGTGTATCGTGTAAGCACGACACGTTAAACATTACCTCATATTGTCACGAATATCCTTTTTTGTCTATAAAGAAGTTTTATAGACTACCAGTAGATCACATAGATGAGGTATATTCATTCTATTTCGTCTGAGGTGACAAGGGGACTGGTTGTTGAATAATAAATTACAAACGAAAAATAAGTAAAGTAGTAGATTGCTATAGCAAATACAACTTTGCTTCATCGACAATCCTAACCCAGAATGTGATATGGGAAAATTCCTTGCCTTCCTTCAAATTCACATTTGACCTGTGATCCAAGCGTACACGTGGCAATGTAGCATAGTGGTTAACGTGTCAAGATTAAACACTACACTGCTATAGTTCGAGTCCCGCTGGGGGTGTTGATAAGACCCAGGCGATGACGAAACTGCAGTCCGCTCTGGATAAGAATAACTTTTGGGAAGCAAGGCTATGTGAAATTCAATGGAAACATAAGGTCTACTCATAGTATTGTGGTAAAATTCGACTATCACTCTCTTTATCACATTAACCGATATAGGGTGAATACATCTCATATGATAAACTACTATCCCAGAGTGTGCAACTCCGAAATAAGCGCATTGCAAATCAAAATCAAGTTTCACACCTTCAAATTGTATTCACTAATCCGTTGTAATCAATTGTCTAAGCGTCTCATACTTTTACGAAATCTCTTTTCAGATAAACGAGAAAGTCTTTGACGACATTTCTTCCCTGTCTTTTGTACATTCAACGCGAATACACAAATAGGATCCGTGAAGTTAGTTAAAAAAGTAACTTATGTGAGGACGAATTAGTTGCTAAAAGTGAAGCTTCACCATAGGGGCTTTTTATTTAAATATGACTGGAATGCATTTTCACAACTCTGCTATATTCACGATGGTGTTCGCTTATCGTGTTCTCGTTTGATCCCATAGTGGGTGTACTCTGCATATTCTCGTAGTCGGCTCGTAACATCAAACTGGTCCACAAGAGCCTCAAGAGTTGTCAGGGCTTAAGTTAGTCGTATATTCTTTTTAACCATCATTCGTCTCCTTTCCAATTGTCTGCGCTCTCTACTTCCCTCACCTTTTAAGTTTAGTCAATGTAACTGAGGAATATGATCCTAGGGAAAACTATACAAGATAGTGAGTTTGGCTACACAAATTAATTCAATTGAATCAGTGCAAATATAATAATTTTCGATTGACTAATGCCAGGTACACTCAGAATTCCTGGAGACTTAATAGTCACAACCCATCATGCCTCAGCCAAGATAACTGCCCACAAGTCGTGCTTGATAGCACAGTCAAACAACTGCCACAGCCAATTCGGCGATGATGAGTGAAATTTTCCCACACCTGTTTTTTCGGACCTGTCCTTAAATAAAGTCTTCCTGGCATCCAATAATCAGCATGACTGGCCTAGGGTCTGTGTGTATTCCACACGCCCATTAGAGATCCAGATTTAACCACGATGTGTTATGCATACCTCCACATTTATGGAATAGTTCGCTAGACTGAAATGCCGGATTTGCAAGCCTCCTTTGCAGCCAGATTATTTCCGTGTAACGACCTATTTGGTGTAAAGCCTATTAAAATCTATACCGGTCTCTCCAATGAAACAATTTGTGATTCCGCCCAACTTCAATTAGTATGCAAACTAGTCATCATTTTGAGCATCACGATCCTTAGCCCATAACATAGCAGGCACCTATTGAGCTATTTAGCCTAGCATTGGTTTTTAAAGGAACATTTATCTCTTCTACTACTTCGGGCGCAGGTGAAATAGAAATGACAGGTCAAGGGTCAGTGTGGTAGGGGAGTAAGTTCACACGGACAGTCACACTAGCATCGAAGATCAAATTGCAGGTACACAATGGCATGCCGACAATCGACGACTTTTCCTCTTTTTCCACTGTTATCACAATAAGTTTCTGCATTACTGTCAGAAATATCTCATTCTTGTTGGTAGGTAGCTGTATCGCCTCGCATTTAATTGAGAAGCAAAGTTTTGCTGTGATAAATTACACAATTTAGCTAACTGGGACGTAACGGGACGGCTGTGAGGCTGCTATGGATATGCCTCGACGGTTTGTCCTTTTGAACTCAGCTAAACTATACTCACCTGTTTCCGAGCCCGATAGCATCGCCAAAGTATGAAAACACGCTCAAACAAATCTTACGAAACTATCTAGTAAATGGAAGACAAGTAAAAGCAAAGTGGAGAATCCGGCTCCCCCTCAGGTGTTTCCATGCCAAAAGGATCTCGCCTCCAACCCTTCGCACATGAAAGTAATGGGTGTTTGATAGCATCAATGAATTATATGAAACCCACAATTAAGGCCTGTTTACACACAATATCAAAGAGATCTAGTCTTTTGATTTTTTATGGGGAAGAAATAGAGCCTGAAACAGGGAAAAAATGGTTATATGAGACGTTTTAAAACTGCGAGGATAATAAATGTAAGAGGAAAATAGGAACAATATTGATGAAGCCTTATTTAAACGATCCATTTATCCATCTAAATATTTAAGCAATTATAGGAAATAAACTTTAGTTAAGCATATTTTGTGGTCTTACATCTTCCAGAAGGAAGCAGCAGTTTCCCTCCAGGTTTTTCGGCTGCGCATTTGCCGTTTCAAATGCATTCTTCAGACGGAACATGCAGAGGATGAAGTCCTCAAAGTCGATAACCCCTTCATCCTCCTGAGTGTATCGTTTAACCAATGCTGCGAATACTTTGTTACTGATTTTGTAGCCTATACAGGATTTACAAAATTAAAAATATGGCAAAACATATATTTATGTTGTTTTCATGGCTCCATTAGACTTAATTATCTTGAAAAAATATACTTATCAGAGCTGGGTATCATTCTTGTAAAAGTCTCACGTTAACAGTAAAGCAAGAACACTATCCGGTTCTACCTTACTTCTTATATAGACCCAAACGGACCTAAGCAGTCTCGGTCAAAGATTTTCTCTTGGGTCATTGGGTCTTGAGGATCAGAACCAGAACTTTTGACAACTCTGATTTAGAAACCGTATTGCATATAGACGCTAACGCGCACAAATACACATACTCATAAAATCGAGCAAAAATAACAGGACTAGTATGTAAGAAAATTAACCACACTACTCTATATCGATCTATCTAGGTTTATAATGATTAATTTTTTGGCTCGATTGAGTCTATATAAGAAGTAAGATAGAGCTTTAGTGTTAACGTGAGACTTTTACAAGAATGACACCCAGCTCTGATGATGTCCTTTATATGATGGATGAAAGCTCAGCACGTTTTCACCCGAAACGAGGGCGGAAGTCTCGTGGACTGCGTCAACATGAAAATCGTATAAAAGACAAACGACTGCAGGACGACGAGATTCATCCGTCCTCATCTGGTGAGATCAAACAACGAATCTATTCTTCATGCACTTTCATCCGAAATGAAGGTCCCTCTAACAATGGTATCTCAGGAGATTCATCAAAACCAACTTTCTCTTTGTATCTACAATGTACGTACGGTTGATCTTTTGTTGGTTTTAATCAAAATCTTGACATATGAGAGATGAACAAAATGTCTATTCAGCCAACTGATCTCAAAACAATAGTTTATAGGAACAAGCTTTTTCTAGCTTTCTATGAATAATATAAAAAGGAATTTTTTATTTCCATTAGTC